CGGGGGTCCTGCGTGACCTCGCTTGGTCACCCAGGACGAGCCGGGGTCCTGCGTGACCTCTCTTGGTCACCCAGGACGGGCCGGGGTCCTGCGTGACCTCTCTTGGTCACCCACGACGGGCGGGGGTCCTGCGTGACATCACTTTGTCACCCAGGACGGGCCGGGGTCCTGCGTGACATCACTTGGTCACCCAGGACGAGCGGGGGTCCTGCGTGACACAGGGTGAGTGCATCTTCTGCCAATGTACTTATTAACCTTTTGATCTCCTTAAGAAATCTCCTAAATAACCCAGAGGGTTTGATCTTCAGTGTTGGATCTTTGAGGTAACTAAAATGTTATTTCCTGGAATTTGACAAATCGATGGAGTGGATCCTTGCCTTAGGCGTCAAATATTTTATCTGAATTTCTTCTTTGTCTTAAAAGAAGTAGCTGATTTTTGTAGTTCTTTAGACAACTCCTGAGCCATGACTTTCTTCAATTTGAAGAACCATTACTGCAGTAAACAGAAAAAGAACTGAAAATTATAGTGGAGGTTTGGTTTCAGTGACATTCAAATTGCTGTGGAGAACAGTTTACATTAGAAGATGGGGATCTGATTATTGACCATTGACTGAGGGTAATGAGGTTTGGAGGGGAAAGCAAATACTACAGCAAATAAAAGGCAGAAGGCCAGCATAAAGGGGTTATTAAAATAAGAAAATGCTGAGCACATTAGTGTTTATGGAGCATTTTGGTGTCATATGACTGCCATCTTTGAGCTCCTAGGAAGGGACTGTGGAGTTGTGTTCATGATTTTGGTTCTTTTTATTTTTGTATATTTAAAAGTTTTAAAAAACCCAAGTAGTTCTTTTTTTTTGACAATGAAGATTGGCCCTGAGCTAACATCCATTGCCAATCTTCCTCTTTTTGCTGAGGAAGATTAGCCCTGAGCTAACATCTGTGCCCATCTTCCTCTATTTTCTTTTTTCTTTGTACATGGGATGCCGCCACAGCATGGCTTGGTGAGCGGTGCGTAGGTCCGTGCTCAGGATCTGAACCTGCGACCCCCCGGCTGCGGAATTGGAACGCGTGAACTTAACCACTAAGCCACTGGGCTGGCCCCCAAGTAGTTCTTATGAGTTGTTTAAGAAGTCAAATTGCTGAGAATCTGATTAATTAAATCAGCAGGCTCTGAACACTCCCTTTCCATCTTATCTGATTCTCTGAGAACAACCACTTTCAACTTTTTAAAAATGGTCTCTTCTAGTCTTTACCTTGCCTGCTTTTATCTCTTGGACATAATCTGGTGACTGAATGTCACGTCACATGAAGATTTTTCGCTTCTTTTACACTCTCGGCTTGCCTTCCTTTAGATCCCCAGTATAGTTATATCACAAATTTTTGCCAAATCCATATTCAGGGTTTTCATTTTTCTATTTGTATAAATATTGTTGACTGCTGATTCAAAGTAGGGTACTATGATTTCATTGTTTTTCTTGAACAGCTTTTCATTTTTCCCATAGTTACTAAGTGCTTCCTTTTTTCATTTGTTTAGTTTTCCTTGCATTGTACTGGTGAGCCTTGACATCCTATCACAGCTCTGAGGATGCTGTGTGATATGGTTTTCCACGAGGCTGACCCATCAGGTTACCCATTGGTTCTGTTGTTTCGTTTTCCGGGAAGCATCCCACCTGGGGCTGCTTCCCCTTCCTCCTTGCTCCAGTTGTATCTGCTTTCTCACAAAACCTCTAGCCCAGCTATCATCCCGTGTGGGGTTTTGTTTTCGTTTCTTTTTGGTAGGTTTTTCTGCGTAGATGGTGTGTGACAGTCATATGACAGGGCATTTAATGGTCACACCAGCCCTGGGAGTAGGTATTATTCTTTGCCATTTAAAAATTGAGGACACTTGGGTTTAGAGCGCTGAAACCTCTTGTGGTTCTTAGAGAGGCTGGTTCAGGCCTGGGTTCCTCCCAATCAGTGCTCTCTTTGCTTTGCGAGGCCTTTTGTTCAGAGCAAGACACCCTGGCTCCTACATGTTTAGGTCCTCATTTATAGTATCGATGCTATAGTATAGTCAGAGACAGACATTCAAGAGCAGGCCCCCCTTTCCTCTCAGTGGACAGCAGGGCTGAGAAAGGCATCTTATTTCTCTTCTGTCCCCTAGAAGGTGCATGATACCTGTTTGCTGGATCAGTGAATCAGTCAAGGTAATTGGAAGATGGGAGCAGGGCAACCTAAGCCAAAATCAGGCTGCAATCTTGGTCACAAACAGTTCGCAGATATTGTTTAGGTGTTGCCCCTCCAGAGGCACACTGGTCTCAGAGAACTGTGCTTCTCTGCCTGTGTCTGGGGGTGTCACCGCCTGCATCCTCTGCAGCATCTTCTCTCAGCTCTGATCTTCTCCATCTTTGAGGTTTCTTCTTAGAGTGTGCTTTTGGATTATAGATGCTTCTGAGTTTCGTTGAAGATAGGTTTATGTTTCATTGTCCTTCTTGCTTTGTATGATTTCCTAGAGTTTGGGAAGAGAGAAAAGATTTTTCAGGCCACGCATATAATTCAGTGCATGGGCCTAGTGATAGGAATCAGGCACCTGACAGGGATTGGTCTTCAACTGACTGTCATACTTTTGCCTAAATAGTTCAAGGGAATAGATATGAACGTTTTCCTGGGAAATAGCAAGGCTCAGGAGAAGCCCAGAGAGCCCAACCAAGTGAAATAAAAGGAAAACTTCAATTTGGAGACTATTTTGATGCTTTGTTTTTATTATTCTTGTTTGTTTATGTTGTGGATTTAGTTGGAACCCTCACACATGTTTCTGGTTCCAGCTTACTCACTTGCTGGCTTTTCTCTTTTTCTCCCTCAAAAAATATGTGGCTCAGAATGGATATACAGTCTGTATGTGTATATGTGTATGATTTATGCATGTCCCTGTAACGTGCAGGTTTCTCTTCTGGGTGTTCTCCTTCTGTACCTCGCATCCTCTGTGCTGATTCTAATTCTGTGTGTTTCCATTTTCATGGCTTGGGTGATCTAGGGCGTGGCGTTCCTATCACATTTGCTTTGCAAGATGATGGCTGAAAATCTATTTACATTAATAAGACACGTAATACTATCATTTCTTGGGTGAGTTTCAGGACTCTTTTTCTTAAAGGGAGGAGAATTATTTTACAGGACTTACAGTAACTGTGATCAAATAGTAAATGAGTTTGCTGCTTCCAAACTGATGCACAAAGACATTGCATTTCACAGTGACAAATTTAAGCACAAAGCCATCTCATGGTTTCATTTTATAGATTTGTTGCATATTCGAATATTGTATACATTATTCTTTATTAATTATTATGATCTTTATTATAAATATTTCTCCAGAATTGTTTGTCTCCTGCAAGCTTATTTCTTTGAACCTTTGATATTAAGAAGACCTTGTTGGGGGCTGGCCCCGTGGCTTAGCGGTTAAGTGCTCGCACTCCGCTACTGGTGGCCCGGGTTCGGATCCCGGGTGTGCACTGACACACCGCTTGTCTGGCCATGCTGAGGCGGCGTCCCACATACAGCAACTAGAAGGATGTGCAACCATGACGTACAACTATCTACTGGGGCTTTGGGGAAAAAAGGAGGAGGATTGGCAATAGATGTTAGCTCAGGGCCGGTCTTCCTCAGCAAAAAGAGGAGGATTGGCAGATGTTAGCTCAGGGCTGATCTTCCTCACAAAAAAAAGAAGACCTTTTTTAGTTTAGTTGTGAGGGCCAATGGTCATTTAGCAGACACCCGAGGGACCCCTGTGCTAGCACTGAGGGCGTACAGGGCAGTGCGACTTCAGCTATGGTGGCGTGGGGCACACTTAGGTGGGAGAGGCAGGCATGTGACTTAGAATAACCAGTCCTGTGGATGGAGCAGTGGAGGTGTGGACAGAGTGGGGCATGTCCCGTGGCTCCCATTTAAGCCCAGAGAAAGCCCAGAGTGGCCCTTCTTAGAAGTTAAGGATGTGAGCTCGGCCAGGCCAGAAAGGACCAGGTGGGTTTTAGGACTGGCGAGAATGATGACTTTCCCTGGAATTGCCACCAGGCTAGTAAGCCAGCAGTGGAAATTGTGTGAGCCACATAGAAGTAGGAGCGAGTGAGAGGCCAGCTTCCTGGCACCTGCCTAGTGTTCTGGGAGGTTCACCTGGAGTCTTGTGGTCAGTGCAGCAAGGAGAGAGGAGCAGGCTGGGGACTTGTTGCCTTTATACTGTCAGCACCAAGGGAAGGGCCGGTTAGCACTTGGGTCTGCCTGCTGCCAGGTCAGGACGTTGCTGTGTCATCAGGCTCACCTCTGGAAGGCTCACAGAGTTTACCTGTTAGGTCAAAGACAGATATTCAGTTTTTCAAGTGCTTTTAGTATCCATGGAACTGATCGTACAATCATATGATTTTTCCCTTTTGGTCTCTTTGGTTAGTTATATTCCTATCTTTCTAAATGTTTGAATTCCATTTGATCATGAAATAGGCCTCTGCTGGGTTCTGTTAAATATTTTACTTAGAATTTTTTCATTTATATTTATAATGTAATTTTC